ATTCTTTAAATATAAAAAATGTACTTACAGTCTGTGAGTCAGAACAGCTGGCATTGTAGTCTACTCTCCCAGGATCAGGAAACAGTCCTCCATAAAATGCACTGGACACGTCTGAATATTTGGGTTGAAGTTCTGGGACAGTGTTGTAAATACAACTTAACCACTGATTTCTAGTCGTGTCCTCTTTTGGAAGGCAAAACAAAGTAGTTTCGCTTTCACAACAAAACACACAGTGGCTTGAGTGAGCGTAGGCCGGCGGGCTTGAGTGAGGAACAGCCGGCAGGCTTGAGAACGGCGCGCCCGGCGGATTCGATGAAAGAGTGTCCGGCGGGCTTTTCACAATCACATGTGACGACCCCAGGCTGGACTCCGCTTCATCCATGGTGAAAGCTGATCCGGCGATCCACAGCGCGAAGTAAGTAGTTTCGCTTTCACAAGGAAACACACAGCGCCTTCACGACATGGCAGCGGCGGCAACAACTACAATACTACAGCGAGAATAAAAGTTACGTCTTCTTTCTTTGCGTGAACATTTGGGGCGGTGTTATGCAAATCTTCCCACATCGTGACGTAGATATGTGGGGGTGTGTTAGAATGAGCCGTTTTAGGTTGGTGTGGCTGACTCTTAACTTTTATAAAGAATATCTCTTTGGATTTGAGACTTTAGTCTTTGCAACTTTACAGATCTTCTTTATGCACGAGCTGGTAACACTTCTTTATGCAAGAGCTTGTAACACTCCAAAGAGAAAGGAAAAATTTTAAATCACATCATATGACCCCTAAATGTTTGCTGGCACTGATTCCTCTCACCAAATGCAGAAGCAAACCGTTTCAGACCAGAAAATTGTCATGCTAACAGCGATGTGTTGCATTCTGCTGATGAATAGTGTTTCAGCTGTGATCTGTGCTAAAAAGTGAATGACTAAATGCTGATCATTTTGCAGAAGTGCAAAGTGTTTGGAAACCCATACAAAATATGAATGCTTAAGAATTCAGGGTAGATTAATTAAACATTATTTTGGGCTTTATGTTTATAATATACTTGGCCGTTGTGCTGTACCATATAACCAAATCAACCTACAGGTGTCCTAAATGGCAGAATGTGTAGTGTTTATAATGTGGACAGAACAACACAACATAATTATGCTGTATGCAAGCATAATATGAATAAAATAAACCAGTAAATCATAAAAAAAAAAAAAAGTAATGAAGGCATTCATTACCAGAGAAGGTGCTATTAAGAAGAATTCCTAGTCTTGGAATGTTCTCATTATATATTTATTTAATTATTCAGTGTTAATCTCTGTATATTGTCTTGTTTTTCCTGCTCTCGTAAAACAGTGTTACTGAAAAAGTTCAAACGTCACACAGACACAAAACACTACGAGAGCACATTCACTACATGTATTTCTTTTTTAAAAACCAATAGGCAAAATAGCCCATCCCCCCGAGAGAGCCCATTAAGAAGGACGCGCCAAAGAAGGACGGCGGCTTCTTTTTTACCATTCGGAATGCATTGGGTAGAACTGCAGAGAGCAGGGTCGTGTGGATGTCCCCCAACACCTTGCGGAAAGCGTAGCGCTTCTGCACCCGCTCAAAAAACGACTGCAGGTTCGGCCGGCTCCCATCCTCCCAGTATTTCCTTGAGAGTCCCAAGAACTTGAGCCTGTGCAATGTGGCTCCAAGACAAATATCAGCTAGTGTAAAAGTAGGTCCACAAAGCCATAATTCACACTTTTGACCTGTGTAGAAATGAAAGATGACTTGTAAGATCAAAAACAACAGTTCACAAAGCAGGGTTATTAAAGTTAACTAAAACCATTAAAAAAAAAAAACTTTCGTTACATGACATAAAATCAACTTTAACTGAAAATAAAATATGAAAAAAAAATTTAAAAATTAATTTCAGCTAGTTGCCAAAGCACCAATTCTCATGTTCGCTTAGTTTAGCAATTTACTAAAATCTAAAATAGCTAAAATTGAATTAAAATTAAAAACCGAAGACAATTAAAAAAGAAATGAAAACTTATGACACAAATACAGCAAAATTACTAAAACGTTACCTAAAATTAAAATAAAAACAGAAAATATAAAAATAAACCCTAATTCACAATGTATTGCTAAAAATGATAACAGTATCTCAAAAATACTAAAATAACACTCAAAGCTAATATTTATAATGTAAAAAATAAATACATACATGCAGATTAACAAATGTGAATTCTTATGATTTACAAGAATTATATGACAAAATGCACCTATAAAAAATAATTCAATATTTAATCAAAGATCATGTTTCAAAAAGAAAAGGTATTTAAACAAGGTAATTTGAATAATAAAATGCAACAAAATACAACAACCTTATTTGAATATATTTTATTTTACCTTAGTGTATTTTAATAAAACAATATAAAATAAGGTTATTAAATAAGGTTATTATATTTGTACTTTTTTGATTATTTATATTATTTTATTTTATTTTTTGTAAAATAAAATTACATATGCTTATTATATAAGGATATTTATTTTATTATATAGGCTATATATTTCTTTTTTTTTTTATTACTGTTTTGTTTTAATAAAATAAAATAATATAAGTTTATTTTATTAGGGTTATTTTATTAATATTTTATTTTCATATTTTTATTTTAATTGTTAAATGTTAAGTGAACAGAAAACATACCTTGATATTCCAGTTTTCTTTTTTCTAGCTCTGCCTCTACTTGGTCTAGCACCATTGCCAACTCACCAAGAATTTTTTTCAGGTAGTTCACATTGTCATGGTCCAAGATCTTTGCCTACAAAATATAGTTTTAAGTATTCAAGACAAGGGCAATCTATTATTCCATTTTCATGCTAAGATATGACTGCAGTTTGATTTCATATTTCAGCTAGGACAAAATATATACTATAGTATCCATCCAAAATGTGCTACACATCATGTATGCAGTGAAACCGCTGACTTACCATGAGCTTTTTCTGCTTGGAGAGGTATGGTTCTGACAGCTGGGGTTCCTCGTGGTCCAACTTCATCAGTTCAGATGCCGCATTGGCCAAATGTCCTGAGAGAAATCAGACCAAATGGTGTAGTTCAGTAAAAGAGCTTTCACAGACCCCCAAAACTGAGAAGATTTTGTGTTTCCTTCACAATGAGTTATTCATAGTTAACATTGTTGGGCAGCACATTGTGAACTGGCCCTATTTTCTGCAAATTTTTAATGTTCCTGACAACTAATTAAGGAATTGAATAAGACTTCATGCATAAAATCACAGCAGTGACTGTGATAAACAACATCTATCATAGGAACTCCCTCCAAGTTATGAACTATAAAAGAGATTTATTTGCAATTATGCCGGGTTTTCGTGACATAATTTATTTCGCTGCAACCCATTGGCTGGATCAACTCTTTGGCTTTATTTGCATTGTACTGTAGATCCAATATCGATGAACTCTGTATAAATAGGCCAGCATTAGAGCATTTTAGTGAGCGGATGCCATGCCAGTTTACAGTCAACATTTGAGACAGCAATTTGCTTCAAAACGTGAAATCTGAGAAATAAAACGATTCCCAGACTAAGCAGGTTTTGCAAGTCAGATGCTTTGCTTTCTGTGCATTAGTAAGAATGAATGGTGCACTGAAATGCAGCATCACTTACTACGTATTTCAGCAGTGGCGTACTTTGGGATCATGGAGTCGGTTGTGAGTTCTGGGTGCAGGATGCATCCATGTGTGTAAGCATCCATGGGCAGCCCATCCAGCAGCTCTCGGTACTGCTGTACCCTTGCATACATGGGAGTTCCTTCATCTGGAATCAGCTGGGCTACTGTGTCTGAAAGAAACACACACAAAAAGATTTTTAATATACATAAATATAGCCATGACTGGTCATATAATTAACCTGCTTGGCTTCTTATTTTCACACAAAAACAAAAAAAAGTGTTTTTGTTTTGTTTTGTTTTTTGTTGCAAGCAACATTTCAAATTTCTAAGGCCTCTAAATGATCAATATAATCAAAACTTTGCTGATAAAAACCTGTTGCACACAATCTACTACATGCCTGATTGATAGTTCATACTTTTTCATTTTTAAGTCATAATTTTTCAGGTCATGGTACACTTGTCTTTTTACTGTGAAATCTTTACTGATTTTTATAAAGTAAACCTATGAAAAACTTTTAAGATGAACTCTTACTGGACTGATGCAACTTAGCTTTACTTGATTATCCATACATAATTTTGTTTTTGAAAAATCTCGTTAAAATAGGAATATCAAATATGATGCATCAAGTTTTTGATGAATGTTTATTTATCCATCTCTCTATCATCACTGTATTGCATTGCATTACATGTTTTTCCACCACAATTAAAACTACAAAGCTTTGATCATAAAACTAAGCATTTAAATATCATCTTACTAAGACATCTTATTGGGAGATATCGATTGACAAATAATATTTATATGCATTTTATTTTTTTTATACTGTTATAAAAGTCTCACTGATGTACTTTAAACAAGCTTTTAGAATTTCATCTTAATTGTTGGCCATATAAATATCAGCAACTCTAGAAGACTGATGTATTAAATATGATACTAAAAAAAAACACATTTTTTAAAGATTTTTTAAAAATATTTTGTCTAAAAGTTCTATAAACTATTCTATTAAAAATAATCATATTTTTTATTATTTATATATTTATATTATAATAATATTTTATTATTTAATGTGTCTGGCTTTAAAATTAATAGAAATGCTAACAGCAGCTTTTTCAGATATTATGGATGTCTTTTTCTCTTTGGTGACCAATCTATAGACTGAAGTCAGATTTAGTCAAACATTTGGTGTCAACAACCAGAAAAAGCCGTCATATCTGGTAAAAATAAGCCTATAATGTTACTACACTGAGGCAGATAGAGGATGGTACAAAGGGCTATCCCATTTTACACTGCTCTGCACCTCTAGCATGCTGACCTGCAGCTCTCCAAGATCAATTCAGCCGATAAATACAGGATCAAACATCTCTGGCACACAAACCGCTGAAATATGCCACAACACCAAGGCACAAACATCATGAACATCTCCCTTGTCCACCTCTACCAGGCCTCATTTCACAATTTGTTATTTAGGACTTAAACTCATTAGCACCACCCACAATGCAAATGAAAATCGCACAGTAAATCTGACAAGCCCGTTTTTACATGTTTATGCATTGTAATTCATTGTAAACACATGTAATGCATTTTATGCATTCAGAGTTATCGGAATGAATTAGGCTTTATTTGCAATGCAATGCAATGATAAGTTTCAAAATCAAAATCTAAAAAACTTATATGAAAGAATAGTCAGTGCTCAAAATCAAATTGATGCATCAGATACATTAATATATTACTGATACATTTGTGTTTGGACACTCAAATGTAAAATATAGTTCAGAAGTGTCTGCTTCGATCTCTTTCATTGAGCGCGAGTGATCACGCTCAGCTCTTTTCACTTAAATGAGTGAGTGATCTTGGATCAGAGACGAGCTTCGGTGAAAACACCCCCACACTCAAACTGTGAAGACATTCAAAATGACACCCAGCCATGCAGCCTGTGAGAGAAAATATACACTGAGTGTGATTTAGCATTTGTATTGCTTACACAGGGCAAATGCAGTTATCTTTAATACTCTATGGCATGATATGGCCAGTGTTATTTTGGTATCATTGAGATATTATAGTTTTTAATAATATTTTGAATAGTTTTTATTATTTCTGTTTTCATTTTAGTTAGTTTTAGTAATTTTATTATGCATTTTTGTCATTTTCAGTAGCTTTTGTTTTTATATATGTATTTCTTTCTAGTTCTAGTTTTTTTCTTCAGTTTTAGTTATTTTAGTACATCAAGTTAAACCACAGTAGTCAACATTTGAAGTGGATCAAAAAAGTTCATCAAAGTTGTCCTAAGACAAGAACACATTTTTGGTTTTAGGACAACTTTGATGAAAAGTTTTGATCCACTTTAAATGTTGACTAGTATATTTTAAAATGAGAAATGTTGGTTTGTCAAATAGCTGAAATAGTTTCAGTTTACAATAATAACCCTCGAAATGTCACAATATAATTGCCCTGTTGACATGAAACTCAAAAATAAAGAACGTTGATAAATACGTTCTTTAGCTAACATAGTTTTACAGTAAATTGAGAAAATGTGCTGTAATGTATTTCCTCATTGGGATTTTTTAAAATTATAATACTGCAATTATTTATATATGTCAAATAGTTTATAATTATGATGTATGTTTTTTTTAAATGAACACAGTAATATTGTACAGAAAGGCCAAGAAGAAGAGTGCATAATTGACTAAACTGCTTTTAACAGAGTTAATTCTTTAGCTAACATAGTTTTACAGTAAATTGAGAAAATGTGCTGTAATGTATTTCCTCATTGGGATTTTTTTTTATTATAATACTTGTAACGAATCAGCTCATGGGAAATATGAATAATTAATCATAACTAGTTATAATTAATTATGAATATTTTAGATCCGCTGTAGATATTTACTTGACCTCTCAGGGTCAACTGTC